CAAACAATTTTGGTGGTGAAATTCTTGCATCAATCTTCAACCTCACCCATCTTACTTTTTTGTCACTATCATCAAATAAGCTATTAGGTCGTGTACCATCTTGGTTGTTTTCTCTGCCTTCTTTATACCATTTAGACCTTTCAAACAATTGCCTTACCAGACCTATTGATCATGTTGAGATGCCCAATCTCATTTTACAAAAAGTCTATTTGTCCAATAATGAGATAAGTGGTTCAGTTCCTAGCTTCTTCTTTGATCTTGTGTATCTTACTAGTGTCAACCTTTCTTCAAATAACTTAACTGGCATCATTACACCCGACATGCTTTCGAAGCTTGTAAACCTTGAGGATCTTGATCTTTCCAATAATAGTTTGCTGTCTTTGAGCAATAATGGCACTGCTGTCAACTATTCCTTTCCGAACCTCTGGTCTTTCAAATTCTCTTCTTGCAACATACACAAGTTCCCAAGTTTCTTAAGGAAGGCAGAGAATTTGCAAATATTAGATATTTCCAAGAACAACATTTCTGGTCAAATTCACAAATGGGAAATAGAAGGGATGTCGTCATTGTACTATTTACACCTTTCTTATAACTTTTTGACTGGTATAGATTTATTTGGTTTTAGAAATCTTGAAATTGTTGACCTCAGATCTAACTTACTACAAGGATCACCTCCCATTATCTCAACAACTTGGGATTCTATGCAACAACTCTTCATGTCAGGGAATAATTTGACTAGTGTAATCCCTTTTTCTTATTGCAATTTGACTTCTCTTGAAGTTCTAGATTTAGCTAATAATTCTTTGGGAGGAAAAATTCCAGAATGTCTTGGAAACTTGAGTGATCTCTCTGTCTTGGATTTGCGGATGAATAAGTTTCATGGTATAATACCAAATTCTTTTGTCAGTGGGAGTAGATTGAGAACACTTAACCTAAATGACAACCAGTTGGAAGGGAGACTGCCATCATCTTTGGGAAATTGTAGTGAGTTGGAAGTTCTAGATGTTGGGTACAACTCCTTGAATGATACCTTTCCATATTGGTTAGGTGTTCTTCTGTGGCTAAAAGTTCTAATCCTTCGATCTAATCGATTTCATGGTGCCATCAGCAATTCTATGCCTGCATTTTACTTCCCTCAGTTAAGAATAATTGATGTCGCACAGAATGATTTTACGGGTCTCCTACCAAGTAACTATTTCAAAATTTTGAAAGGTATGAGAGATGTAGCTCCAGCTGATAAAGCCAAATTGGAATACGTTGGTGATAATGTGCAAGTTGTTGAACTCAAAGCAAAATACCTTTTTAATGGGTTGCTAAGATCCGATACCTCTCCTCTTACTTATAAGTTTTCTGTGAAGGTAGTAATGAAAGGGTTAGAAGTGGAGCTTGAAAGGATCTTGACAAGTTTCACAACCATTGATTTCTCAAGCAATCGATTCCATGGGGAAATTCCTAAAGAGCTAGGAGAACTCAATTCACTTGTATTGCTAAACTTATCTCACAATAGTCTCAGTGGTCAAATTCCGTCATCATTGGGGAAATTAGCAGAACTCGAGTCATTAGATCTCTCGTCAAACAAGCTTGAAGGCAGGATTCCAGAGCAATTGACAAAGCTGACGTTCCTATCACTTTTGAATCTTTCACACAATGAACTTGTGGGCCACATACCTGAAGGGAAGCAGTTCAGTACTTTCTCAAATGATTCCTACGTTGGGAACTCTGGGTTGTGTGGATTCCCGTTGACAAAGAAATGCGAACCACCAAGACCACCTTCACCACAATTTGATGAAGAAGATGACTCTACAGCAGTCTTTGAGTGGAAGTTTGCATTGGCAGGCTATGGGTGTGGACTGGTGTTGGGACTTAGTCTGGGATACATTGCCTTCACTACAGGAAAACCATGGTGGGTAGTGAAGAAAGTGGAGAAATATCAACAGAAATTAGTTGGAAGGTGGGGCCGAACTCATAAGCAGAGAAAAACCCAAAAACCCAACCAACGCTCTTAAGTGAGTAACTTTCTACAACTCTCTATAATATTTGTTTTTCTATATGAGTTCTAACCATAAAAATCAAGGCATGTTATATAATAGTGACACTTAATTTTTCTACTTTTACTTTATTTTATATAGGTGCAAGCAGGTGCGGAAGATCTGGCAACAGTTGCTTCTTGAGCTTGTTTCCATCTTTTTCATATATAGTTGTATTGACTTGTGTGGGAATTATGGTTATGTATGAATTTGTGTTGATTTCTTTTGGATTTGGTGTATCTGCTCCGTACGCGGTTCTCTTGTATTTTGTTACTGTAATCTTTTTTTGGTTTCGTTTTACTGAATAAAAATGAAAATTTCTTAAAATGTGGTGTGAACCCCAATCGTCTCCTTTCGCCATAGTTTTCGATCAATTGAAATTTCGAATCAGTCTGGAAGCGGATTAGGAGTGCCAGCCGATCGACGGCCGAGACGGCCTCTGCTCTCTGGAGGCCCATTCTCTAGCCATCGCCAACTCTAGATAGGTAAATTTCTTTTTGTGTTTTACATTCTGTTTTCTTGAGATAGTAACCTCTTGTATTAACGGAGGAAGCTGTGGTAATTTTCTGTGTGGAATAAATTAATGATTTTAAATGTGC